GTTCGCTTCAACTGCCCCCAAAGCACCCCAAGGTGCCTTCAGCTCCTCTCAAAGCACCCCAAGGTGCCCCCAAAGCACCCCAAGTTCGCTTCAACTGCCCCCAAAGCACCCCACTGTGCCCCCAAAGCACCCCAAGTTCACTTCAACTGCCCCCAAAGCGCCCCAACTTCACTTCAACTGCCCCCAAAGCACCCCACTGTGCCTCCAAAGCACCCCAAGTTCGCTTCAACTGCCCCCAAAGCACCCCAAGGTGCCTTCAGCTCCTCTCAAAGCACCCCAAGGTGCCCCCAAAGCACCCCAAGTTCGCTTCAACTGCCCCCAAAGCACCCCAAGGTGACTTCAGCTGCCCCCAAAGCACCCCAACTTCACTTCAACTGCCCCCAAAGCGCCCCACTGTTCCCTCCAAAGCACCCCCAAGGTGCCTTCAGCAGCCCCCCACCCTCACCTCATGAACTGGCTGAATGCTTTGTAGTTGGTGAGCGTGTGATAGTCCTCCTCGGTGAAGATGTGGTCCACGTCCTCCAGCCCCCACGCACCCAACAGCTGCGCTGACGACTTCTGCTCCACCGGCTGCGCCCCCACAGGGACAGGAAGGTAAGTAGGGGACCCCAGCTACACCAGGACCCCCCCTTAGCTCCAACACATGCATCAAGACCCCAACCATGGGGACAGGAAGGTCAGCATGGGGGTCTGGGGTCCCCCAGCTACACCAGGACCCCCCCTTAGCCCCAACACAGGCATCAAGACCCCAACCATGGGGACAGGAAGGTCAGCATGGGTGCGTGGGGACCCCCAGCTGCACCAGGACCCCCCCTTAGCCCCAACACAGGCATCAAGACCCCAACCATGGGGACAGGAAGGTCAGCACGGGTGCGTGGGGACCCCCAGCTGCACCAGGACCGCCCCCAACCCCAACAGAAGCATCAGGACCCCCCCCAAGTCCATACCTTCACCTTCTGCCCCCCCTCCTCGTCCATCTTTTTCCGCCTCTTTGTTTTCTTCTCCTTCTTCTCCCGGTGCTTCCGCCGTTTCTTTTTGGCCACGCCGCCGTAGTCGCTGCCGCCGCTCTCCGACTTCTCCCGGTACTCATCCCGCTCCGACTCAAACTCATCCTCGCTCACCTGCGTCACCCCAGACCCCCCCCAAGTCACCCCAACAACCCCCCCGTGTCACCCACCTCGAAGCCCGGAGCAACGACACCCCGCCTGTCACCTCCCTTCCGTCACACCCAGACCCCCACCCGTCACCCCGAGTCCCACGTGTCACCCTCAAGTTCTGTCACCGACCCCATATGTCACCCCAGCACCTCCGTCAGTCATGCTGAGACCCCAATGTGTGACACCCGTGCTCCCAATTGCCACCCCGAGACCCCCAGGTGTCATCCCATGAACCCCTCTGTCACCCTGAGACCCCCATCTGTCACCTCGGGGACCCTGTGTGTAACACTGAGACTTGTCTGTCATCCCAAGACCTCCCACGTGTCACCCCCAGACCTCCACGT